GTGCAGCATACATTATTTAAAGTAAGGAGTATTATAAAAATCGCAAAAGTTCTTAGGAAAAAGAAAGTTTTAAATCTTTAGATTTTTTTAGTAACAACGTATGTTGAAGTTTCATATGTTGAAGTAATATTGCTATCTGAAATTTCATTTGTTATAGAATTTTCTTTAGTCCTGCTCCTTGCAGCATAAGCGGCAAGTACCAAGGCAAAATGAACCTATAGAATACAAATAAAATGATTAATAAATTTATATTATTTAAAGGTTAAAGAAATAGGTTAAACATACCATGAGAGTAATAAGGAAAAGACAGACTAAGACCGATATGATTTCAAAAAACATATATGAATCTTCACATAAACACTTTGGATTATTGCTAGAAGATTCACTAAAATATAGCAACTAGAATTGCAACACCCGCAAGAACTAATAAAGAATGAATAAAATCTTAAGATATGCTGATCTCTATAAATAAATAATATATATATGTATATATATTAATAATTTTCATAGTAATTAGAGTCGTAATTATAACGATCAAGGCAATAAAAGCCATAATGCCATCAAATATTATGATACATACCGTAGAACAACAAACAGAGTGTTCAGAAAACCAAAAATTAGAGATATTTAAAAGAGTTATGACTAAGACTATAATTGATTCAACATTAGCTATAAAAATAAATTACCGATATTACAGTATTAGCATCTAAATTCGTACGTACGTACAGTAGTATAAAAAGCAAACAAATAATACCGGACCTCCCTAAATGCAACCTCCTAATGCAATACCTATCTAAATGCATATTGGTCCCAACGAGTTGCATATATGAAAACATTTAGTAGTTTTATTAACCAAATTCATCTGATTTAAATATATATATATATATTACAGAACTATCCTTATAATGGTAAGGTCCATTGGTTAAAAGTGTCTATTTATTCACTTTAATCATACTTTAATTAAAAAAAAATTATATATAGCGATAATAACATCCGCCACCCGCTTTAGGCATAGTGATGCAGGGGAATTATTCCAAAAATTGGACACAACATTGTGGCCATAACAATTTTAGTTAATAATTCATGCAAAAATTACAAGAATCATGTCACACGACACTTATGTATTTATTGTATTTGAATACATGAATAGCAATGATCACCCGCGAAAGTAGCAATCGTGATTGCACTGGGGTCGCGTGGGAGCAGCCGGTGGTTTCCCGCTTGTCGCAGCAAGCCAAGCCGACAGTACCAGGGCGGCCCCCAAAGTGCCAGTAACGTAGTAGCCACAGTATATTATATATTGCAAAATTGACAATTGTTATCTAAAAAAAAAGTGAACTATGATATGCAGCTAGAAGAGAACCAATAAGTTGTACTAATTGATTTTACGTCACTGGCACTTTTGGGGGGCCGCCCTGGTACTGTCCAGCGAGCCGGCTGGGCGAAGAAATAATAGAATCACGTGTTACTTATCTAGGAGTGAGTTGGGTGGGTGGGTCGCGAAAATTTTTTGGTACAAGCACTAGCCGGTCAGTTTCCACCGTCCTTAGAAATCTTCGTTGAAACTTAATAAAAAATTCATTGTAATATTTTTTTTAAAAAAAATTTTAAACCCCTTTAAATGAGGATTTTTCAACAATTATCGATTCAAATGAAATTTTTTTTATTTTAATTCTGAAGTTTTATAGAATTAAGATAATCGAAATTGGATGTGATTGTTGAGAATTTTTACTAAATGGTTTAAAAAAAATTGGCCGCAGTTTTTTTTTTTAGAAAATTTATTATAGCGGTTTGCAAAAAAGTGTGACCCTGTGATTTCGTGATGATAATAGCGGAAAAATTTCCGAGATTTTAATTCCCTATTGATCATAATTTTCAATCAATAACGTCTATATTTTATTCGAAATCTTT